ATACTGCTGAAGCCTAGCTTGTAGAATTTTGAGCATAACCTTGCTAGCATGTGAAATGAGCGCAATTGTGTGGTAGATCTTCTACATAAATTAGAGACAAAAAATAAAAATCAGAGAAAGGCAGGAGTGTATTACCACTGAGATTAACCCTTCGAGATTGCTATTAGCAAAATGGCACAATCCAAATTATTATCTCTCATCAAGCAGTCAAAAGATTCTTCATAATGAACAATCTATAAGGAGGAGATGTGAATTTGGAAAAAACAGATCTCCAAGCCAAAGTGGATGCTACAGAGAAGAACAAAAATTGGAAACAAGGGAAAAACAAGGGAAAATACAAGATAGATCAGTTTTTCCTGTTTTGATCATGGCACACTTATTGAATACTCTGGCTATGCTTAGAAGACTTTTGCTGGCACTGCTTGTTTGGTTATTGAGGCACGGATTCTTACAACAGAGGAATCCACATAGAAAAACTTTTTATTGGCAGTTATTGAGTTGCAAGTTTGGATTGATAAGGAAGATACATATATTTTTTAAATTGGCTCAGCAGCTTCTCCAAAAGGGAGGGGTTAGCCACAAAAAGGAGAGAATCTTCATCCTATCCAAGGTCAAGGCACTGCAATTAAAAGAAAGTAGGCAAAACAAGGAAAGGCTCCAGCGAAGCAAGCTCTATTCCTGGTGATTATAAGGTAACAGCCATGTTGGATTTTGGTAATCATATGAACATGGTTTGCTACTGCCTTCTTCCAAGATATTTTTCTGACTTTTCAGTCTGGTCAGCAGCTCTGAGATTTTCTGGTGGTCTCCCATCCATGTGTTAACTATATATGACTCTTCTCACTTTTTCAAGATCAGCCAAGAGAGTTAATTGTAAGTTGTAGCTCCTTCCTCTTCTCATTAATACAATGGAAATGAACTAGTTGTAACACAGTAGAGCAGTGTTTCTCAACCTCAGCCACTTGAAGATGTGTGGACTTCAACCCCCAGAATTCCTCAGCCAGAACCCTGAGATGTCAGTAAGACCACAAGCTGGGCACCAAGAGAGAGAGCTGTGGATAGACTGGTACCACTCTGGGGATCCAGACACTGGTTAGTTATAGGTCATCTTCAGCTTAGGGGCAACTGTTACCTTAGGTAGCAAGATGGAAATGACTTTGGTTTGCCTGATTTTGTTCTGGCTTAGTTCAGGTTCCCAAAGGCACTGGTGGGAGAAGAACTCAACAATGCACACATAGGCGCACAATGTTCTCCACAGCCATTTTGCTCCCAGAAAGACACCACAAGAAAATTGGCATCTTTTAGGGAAATGTCCCTGTTTGGGAGAGGGACATTTCCTTCTCCTGTGAATCAGCTGCCAAGCCATTCCGCCAGATAATGCCAAGTTCTCCAATATTCTGACTCAGAGTTTGGAAATAAAACGTCCTTCAAGTACACCCACGCTCAACCACATTTCTCTCCATATTGGTCTTGATTTTAAAACTGCAATTCTATTCCCCACCTACTCCACTTAAGGGAGGAAAACAATTATTTTACTAGCTAGGATGGATGAGGAAAAAAAATCTCCAAGTCCATTTTATACAATAATGTATTTGCTGTACGCTTGGGCTGATGTGTCTAATTACTGAAACTGGGACCATAAAGGTCATGTCTCTGACCAACGCTGAAAAATGGTATAAAATGGCAGATTTTCCAGTTCATAAGATTAGGAAGTTTCTTCTAATGCACTGGGGACTGGCAACCTTTCCAAGCTTGGGTGCCAAAAGTACCATTTCTTCCCCCCCCCCGCAAATTTTCCATGGCTGCCAAAATCTCACCCTGAGAACTCTATTGTCTAAAGTGTTAGACAATCTTGTGAGATATTTCAACCATCTTTAATTTCTAAAATTTATTTTACTTTCATAGCACGGGTCACAAGCACCATATTGCCAATTCTTTTGTAACGTGTAGCCAAAATCTGCTTTCCTACAATTTCCATCTGTTGGCTCTAATCCTTTCCCATAGATCACCTGAGGAAAACCCTGATCCATCTTCTACACAACAGCCTTAAAGACACCGGAAGACTGTGATCTTTCCTGCCTGCCATATGCAACAGCTGTTTGGGCTCAATTACCTGTTCACTTATGAAGCGAAAGCCCTTGTCTGGGCGGACACACTCGTATGTTTCCCCCAACACAGGGTTGAATGGCTTGCTGCCAGCACGGTAGTAGGTGGAGGCGTAGGCAGATACAGCAAAGGCAGCTATGCAGAGCTGTTAGAAAGAACCAAAAACCATTAGGGACGCCCTCAGGAAAGGAAAAAGTCACAGAACAGCTAAGAAGGCACTTGGGGGTAAAGGGAGGGCCCTAGAAAGTTTATATTCTGCAAGCCACATCACAGCAGTTGATTTTCCAAAGAGGCAGAACATTCTCAAGACACAGTCTTCTAAGAACTGCTGAAATATGAAATAGCCATGGGCAACATTAGTGCTATTGTACTACATAGCAATGAGAGACAGAGGTTAAGTGTTGGAATACTTATGGTCTCTATGTAACTTTTTTTGTCTTCCCCATTTGTCAGCTATTACTGTTAGAAGTTATATACAATTATAGGTTAGTATAAGTGGGAAAGCATGTTGCCTCATTAGCTGTACTTAGGATTTTTTTTTTATTGTGCAATTACATGATTATATGATTAAGACCCCATTGATCAATAAACTCAGATACAGGAGGACTGATACCTATCACTAAAAGCTCAGAGACAATATTTCACACCTGTTATTCCCATGGCTCTAAGCTATGCCCTAGCATTCTGAGGGTTTCAGAATTAGTCATGGAACTGCCTGTCTGTACAGCTCTTCTTTCTTCTTTTAACTAAAGGATCCTTTTCTATTCCCTCCCAACTCCTCTCCCAGGATGAGGGGTGTGGGGGCAGTCAGGTAAGGAAACATTAGGTAAGAGGGCAACCTACAATTTCAAGGTTGCATATGATCCTTAGGTACCCTTTCTGCAGCCCTCAAAGCCACCTCTGACCATGACTACTGAAGACTAGTGACACAATTTCCTTTTCAGGCAAGAAGCTCAGAAAACCTGTTATGTCAACTTTAAAACAGGCATATGACACTTTAAAAAAAAATCCACAAAACCCCTCTGAATCTGTCCCTCAAAGCCCAGCCCTGCCCACCTGTATGATAAACTTCACTCGCTCTGTAGCTCCCAATCTAGCCCTCCGCTCCCAATTTCAGATGCAGCCCTTGGCCTCCCACAGACAGCCCATCCCTGACGTATGGAGAGGCACATTACCAATCTTTCACAGGGGTCCAGACTGCGACTGGCTGCATCCAGCAGGGCGCTGTACTCCAGCTCTTCACAAAGGCGTTGCAGCATGTTGAGCGGCTCATTCAACTGCACTGGCATGGAGACCTTGGAGAGATCCTTGCCAATGTTGTTCCGAAGAATGTTCCAGACGCTGATGTCATTGGCATGGTTGTGGGAGGCTGGGAGGCAGTTCCTCCGGGCTATCCCAGGTCCCGGCCCAGGAAGATACAGAGGAAGAGGCACTGGCAAACCTAGGCTCATCTCGGAAGAGCTCCCAATACATTGCATAGGTCCTGAGCCTACTAGAAGGTAGACAAACAGTCAATGGCTGGGTTCATGGGGTGCTGAGGCCCCCAGATACCACCCTTGGTACACATCAGGTTCCATCTCCCACCTGGCTCTTAAAAAAATAAGTTTCCTTAAATTAAAAACAAACAACTAAATAAACAGGCCTTCGGTGGTGGCCCCCACTCTCTCTGGTGATACAAACTGCCTCAACTTTACAAGTATTCCATTGAGCCAGCCCTTCGATTAAGTGTGTGGCACCTCTGATTAATTAGTTTTCCTTTAACTTTCATTCCTATTATATAAATAGATTTTTTTTAAGGGGGGGTGTTATAACCCACCCAAATTCTGTTAGGATTGGGGTGGGCTATCAATTGTGCATAAAGAAATAAATAATAAAAGAAATAAGGAATGATCATTCTGCAAAGCAAGGCATCAGCTATTAGAAACATATATATTTAAAGCAACGCTTGTTGGTCCCACAAAGGTTGCTCTGATATGGTATTCAGCATCCTAGGGTGTCAATTCACTTTCTGGTAAGTGGGTATTTTAAAACTGACCATGCCCACTGTGACAGACATTTTTTCAACATTTGTTCCCCGAATTCCATACAGTAGGCGAACTTGGCCTAAAATGTTGCCTGTGATTTTTATTTGTTTATTCCACTTATACGCTGCTAATCTACTACATACTCATGATACAAATCATAATAACTTGTTGACATATAACCATAAATCATAAATGGCTCTTTACTAACCACAGTGGTTGTTTTCACACATCATACTAATCTAAAAGCAAATAAACCACCTGATATGTGACCCCAGTCACTGCCAGGTCTTTTGAGTTTTAAATCTGGCTTTAAGATTAAAGGCCAGAATTCTGTTTTCTTGTCCTAGAAACATCTGCCAAAAGTCTCTGCCACAAAAACACATTCCGCCAGTTTACATATTTCCAATTATTCATATTAAATCAAAGAACAATCAATCCGATCTTCTTCCAACAGTGATCTAGTAGTTATTTCGTGGAAGCATGAAAAAGTCAAGAAGGGACCACTTTTGCTCCATTATTTATCCAGAGCATCTGATATTCTGCCATTATGGAAGTTCCATTACTGGCTTGTAGTTAGATACAGTGGTTAAAGGCAGTAGACTAAAACCCAGGAGACTGTGAATTCTAGTCCTGCCTAGGCATGAAGCCAGCTAGGTGGACCAGTCACTCTCTCTCAGCCCTAGGAAGAAGGCAGTGGTAAACCACTTCTGAAAATGTTGTCAAGAAACTTCATGGACTTGTCCAGGCAGTCGCCAGGAGTCAAGACTGACTCAAAGGCACACACACATGTACGCACGCACACACACACACATTACCAGCCTATAGATAGAAATCAATCCTGTCATCTGAAAATCTGTTTAGCCGTACAAGCCAAACTCATATAAGATAGCTTCATCACTATATCTAACAATAGTAAATCCTATACATCACTTGTTATGGAAAGCAGACCTCCTAGGAGTCACATGAAGGCCCCTTCCAGTCTACAATTCTAATTTACCTCCCAATGTTTGTTCTGAACTAACCTGTTTATCCATATTTTTGGAGTCACAATTTCAACATTTCAGGAGCGTGTCAGATTACAGAAAGATCATCTCTATTCTAACCTTCCATAATCTGACACTTATCCAATGTGTTGGAATGACAACTCGAAACATTTCCAGCCAGCATAGCTAATGGACTATTATTTCTGAGAGCTGAAATCCCATTATTTCTGGAAAGCATCACAATTCCCCTTACCCCATCTTCCAACCACAGCTCCCTACTGAGGCTCCTCCTGTACAGGCACACACCTGCCCATTTCTTGAATCAAGTACCTTTGTGGCAACGGTCAGAACTTCCTGGCATATCTACCATCTCCTCTGAAATACTGTTGGTCACTTCGCTGACACAGGATTCATCATCCGTGGCCTGGAGGAGCAACAGGAGGTTACACAGACCAAGGCAAGTGGGGAGCTACCAGGGAAGAGCAAAAATGGGCAAGGAAGGAAGGAGCAGGGCTGGTATGGAGAGAATTTGAGACAAGACAACAATAAGAACTCCCCAAGGTGAGAGGATACTGGAAGTTGGATCTCCTACGGATCCATTCTTTAATAAGTTTATGCTTAAGAAAATATTGTCCAGGTGAAGCAGATTCTATCCTACCTGTAGCCTCCAATTACAATAGGAGTCTCATAAACACAGGCTTTAAGCTCTAAAGAACAATTCATAGAGAGCGAGGTATTTCTTTTCTCTATATAAAAAGTGAAAGAACAGGGGAACTATTTCTTTTAATGCATATCCATAAAATGCTCAATGTAAAAGCTGAAGTCAGTGCTAAGTAAGATTGCTTCTGCTCGATACAAAATTAAATAGAGCATATATCTCATTTTCCCCAGGCATTGGGTCAGGCGGTTAGATGAGCTCTGCTGTTGTCAATGTGCTTTTTTTTTTTTTTTTTGGTGGGTGGGGTTACTGTTTAGTCCTGGCCACCTGGGGATATATGTTGTTGATATTTCTGTCTTTTAATCCTTGTAAGCCATCTAGAGTCACTTGTGAGAGATGAGCGGCTATAAAAAAATCATACAGATAAATAAATACATGGACAGCCTTACACTTGAGGGGCTGTGAAGGGCAACTCAATGTTTAAAGGTAAGGAACTATAAGAAGAGAGAACAGGGGCCTTAAAACTGCCAAACTGTAAAATCTAGGTGACAGATGGATGACAGACACAGTTCTCTCCCTGCCCACCGCAAAATGGGCATGTACAGCATTTCTATTTAAATTATGCTAATTGGTTCCAAATTTGGAGCTATAAATATACATTAAAATGTGTGCAAATTACATAACCTTGTGCCTCTCATATTTTTTTTTTGTGATATGCCGACTGTTTTGAGGGGACAAGGAAAAAGATATTGTCGGCTCAAGATGACTGAAGGGAAGGAAGACAGAAACAAAGAAAGACTTCCCAGAATCCTCAGATCCAGAACAAGGAGACAGTAAAGGATCTGAGCGGGGGAGAAAAAGGTCAAGCTGAGAGGCCTCTGAAAAGACAGAAAAGAAATAGCCTCTCTGTGTCTTTAGGAGCAGCATGTCCCAGAGACATAGGGTTTGGTCCTAACTTTATCTCAGATATCCAGATTTATCTCCAAGGGGGAAAAGATGGCAAAGATGGAGAAGGCAAGACCTACACTAAAAGGCAAAAGGCCTGGATTCTGCTAAGCTTGCACTTTCCAATCAAAAGAGGGAACTGGGGGAGGAAGGCACTGAAAACTATAGATCGATGAGGTGGGGTTTGGGGTGTGTGGGGCAGGCCGGTTGGAGAATGGAGTGGGAAGAACGGCTGCCAGGTGGAGGGGGGAGTGGCTTGGCTGTTGACTAATTGACAAAAGGAAGAAAGAGAAATGAAAAAATAGAGAGAAGTGATGATCACATTAATCTAAAATACAGAATACACTGTTATATTACAAGGAACATGAAATCATCCCTTTAGCCTTACATTAAAGCTAACCTAACTAATTGATCATTTCTAATGATTAGTAAAAGAACCGTTCAGGTAAACTACAACTGAGTTGTATGTGTATATGTAATAAACTGTATGAACTCAATTGCGTACAGTAGTAAATTAAGCTAGGCAATGTAACTGTGCATTTAGGCGCATCTGACGGCTATTTCTTAAGCCGCCAGTAGGCAGGGTGACTGATTCACTGAAAATTGTCCCTGCTATTGCCCTGAGCTGACCCGAAGCTCTTGCAGCTGAGTATATTTTAAACAAATTCAGCAAGAATTGTGCAAATGATTGCACCTCAATTTTCAACTTTCAAAACAGATGCTCCCTTGAGATGACAGCTCCCTTACATGGCCTCTGAAAACACAGCTATTCCTGTCCAGCTGCAATGTTCCCTCTACCTGCTACATTTCCACCTGTTGCTGAGACCTGCCATAAAGGCTGGGCATCATCTGCTCACTCTGAATAACCTCATCAAGTTTATTTATATGCTGAATTTCCATAGATTTGTTCAGAGCAGCCTAAAACAGAGGTGCCCCTCCCAACAGGGAAGAGAAGCATGGAAATTCTTGGCAAGATACTTCCAAAAAAAGACTTCCTGAAACCCAACCTTTTCACAGCTACTGTCACTAACCTCATTCTCAGATGAGCTGGCTGACAGGAATACCTCACAGGCATCAAAGAACTCAGTGTGTGAATCCGAAAGAGACACAATGCTGCAATTTGAGAGCTGCTGCTCCTGTCCCTTAACCAAGAGAGCATCCGGCTGAAGGAGAGAATACAAAAATATTTCATTTTTCCTGTTTTTCATTACTAAATTTACAAAAATAATAACAAAAAAGAGGTAAGTCCAAATGTTGCCTTGAAATAGGTTACAAGTGTTGACTGAGACATAATCTAAATCAGTGTTTCTCAACCTCAGAAAATATAAGATGTGTGGACTTCAACTTCCAGAATTCTCCAGATAGCATGGCTCCCTGGGAAATTCTGGGAGCTGAAGTCCACACATTTAAAGCTGCTGAGGTTGAGAAACACTGATCTAAATCACCCTTCTTTGTGCTAGCCTTTTCCAGATGGATTGGGACTGAAACACCCATGCCTAGTATATTTCGATATACATTTCATTTTTAACTTTTTATTTATTTATTTTTTAATGATAAGATTTTTCTCCTCCACTTCTAGGAAAACCAAGTAAATTAGGAGCAATTTGATTTGGTGGGATTCAACTGAAAGTGCCCCATCAGGAAAAAGGGGGCAGGAAGGAAATGGAGGTGGATGAAACCCCAAAGGTTTTCTCAGGCTTCTTTTTTTTTTCTTGGCATCCCACAGACGGCAGCAGAAGTGGCCAAGCCTCAGAAGGGAGAACTTGGCAGAGGAGGGGAGTGAGAGCTGCTGCCAGGTTGTGAAAAGGCCCAAAGAGGCAACTGTGATAAAAGCGCTGCAGCTTTTCTCAAAATACAAAAAAAGTTATATTTTTTTTAATTGCTCCAAAGAAACAATCCCCAAGCAGCACCAGTTTTTTTATGCTGCTGGATTCCTATCTATGATGACTTCACACACCCCTTCTCCTGTTCAGCAGTCTCCTTGGAAAGAAGTGTGTTCTTCTCTTCTGTATTTATTTTCATCAGCTTCTTTTTATCAAACTTCTCACCTTCTGAAAGATTTGTTTTGTCACACAACTTGGCCACACAGTAAGATAAGCTGATACTTCCAGAACTGTAAAATAAAAAACAAAACAAAAACCCATCCCCTCCTGCTTCCCTGCTCTCTGATATATATGTCTTACATATATTGTTTTTAATCTGATTACCAGATAGGGTATGTATATCGTTCAGAGTCAATTTATGATTGGAGTAGCATGGAAGCCCAATAAATTAATAAAATTAAAGAATTAATAAAATTAAAGAAGGAACTAAAGGATTCCTTCAGCCCTTTGTGCTGAAAATTCTGGAACTTGACTTCCAATTTGTATTAATACTTATGGAGGATGACCATAACATTAACAAAAAAGAGAGCCAGTTTGGCCTAGTGATTAAGGCTCCAGGCTAGAAAGCAGGAGACGGTGAGTTCTAGGCCTCTCTTAGGCATGAAAGCCGGGTGGGTGACTTTGGGCCAGTCACGCTCTCTCAGCCCAACTCACCTCACAGGGTTGCTGTTGTCGGGAAAATAGGAGGAGGAAGAAGTATGAGGCATGTTTGCCGCCTTGAATTACTTATAAAAATAATAAAAGCAGGATTAAAAAAAATCTAAAAAAACAAAACAAAGCAAAACTCTTTCTATATGACCGCATTTGACAAAATTAAAGCAGAGAACTTGACAGCTTCCTTCACTGCCTCTCAGGCAAGAAAAGATCCAGTTCCAATGGTGACAGGGAACATGTATTTTTATTTATTTATTTCTTTATTTATTTGAATTATATAGCCACCCATCTCATTGCTGTGACTCTGGACATGTATAATAACTGTCAGATGCCACAAAGCAGAAGAAGAGCTGTTTTCCCATGTAATAATTCTCTTAGCTGCTCGCCATACCTTCCCCATACACCAAATGGCCATAATTGTTGCTATGAAAATAGATCCCCTGGACTAATAACACAGCCTAAGAAAGCATATGTGTCTTCATAAACAGTGATCATGCTAGAGAGATATTAACAGCCCTGAGATTTCTGACCATAGAGCAACTAACATTACATTTCGGATAGGGAAAGGCTTACCTCATCAGCACTGAATGAGGCAAAAGAATCGAGGGTAGTATCTGAGGAGACGGAGAGAGAATGGAAGCGGCGAATACATTCAGGATTGTCAAGAGTCTGCAGAGAAGCCTGGAGGGAGTAAAAAGGGCTGTTATTTTAGGACAGGGCAAACAAGGAAGTGGAGGTTAAGGGGCTGTAAATTAAAGCCGGGCACTGATCATTTTCTACTGTGAAGAAACTGAGCTCAGATTCATTTTCTGACTCAAAGTACTTCACTCAGACAAACATATATGGGACTAAATACATTTGCCATGAATGAATGGTAGAGCATTTTACCAGTTTGGTGTAGGGGTTAAGGCAGTGTTTCTCAACCTTGGCAACTTTAAGATGAGTGGACTTAAAGTTGAAGTCCACTCATTTTAAAGTTGCCAAGGTTGAGAAACACTGGGTTAAGGTGATGGATTAAAAACCAGGAGACTGAGTTCTAGTCCCACCTTAAGCATGAAAGCCAGGTGGGTGACTTTGGGCCACTTGCTCTCTTCAGCCCAACCTATCTCACAGAGTTGTTCTTGTGGGAAAAACAGGAGGCAGGAGCATTATGTACACCACCTTGCGCTGTACAAAGTAAAGGTGGAATGGCATCATTCTTATCTGTTCTAAGCACTACTTGTTTTAAATACAGGAAATAAGAAGGGGGGGGGACACAAAGTCCTTGCAGTTCATGAAAAATGGTGAGTGCTTGATTTGGGCTGGTGGGTGGAGGAGGTTCTCAGCTAAACCTTAAAGCCAACACTTGATAATTCTTTCAAAGGACCATGACCCCTTACACCAGCTGTAGTAGAGTTGATGCCATCCCCATGGCCATCCTGTGCAGAAGACAGAGTGATACGCTGCAGATCTAACATCCGCTGCAATTCTTGGAGACGGTCACGCTCGGAGGTCAGCACAGCCAGCACACTGCTGAGAGAACCATGAACTGGCAAAGAAAAGATTACAGACAGCATTATATTCCATTAACACAGAGAATTCTGTATCAGGAAGGATTCTGGAACCCTCAAAATTTCAACTTTCTTGAAGAACCTCAACCTTCTAGCTCTAAAGGCTACAATTATCAAAGTGAAATTAATAATGCTCAAATAGATAAGATGGTGCCTCTGGATATTTTGAGTTTCAGTCTTCATCAGTTCCAACCAGCATAAGCAATAGCAAGGAACTGTAGGAGCTGTAGTCCAAAACATCTGGAATGTGTGTCAGGTTGCCTACCCTTGATGCATGCAAGGTCCAGTGAAATCTCACAAGATAGTTAATTTGGTGTTTGTATGCAAGTAAGAGAGACAGTGTATCTTCAAAACAGAAGGGAAAAAAATCTCTAAAGACATAACATTGCTTCCCCTTTCTGATGCCCTCTAGATAAGTTTACTAGCTGAGCATGATGGAAGTTGAAATCCAATATATCTGGAGAGCAGCAGATAAGTAAGGCTCCTTATATATATAGTTTCCCTATTTTCAAAAAGTAAAGTTAGGTATTAACGTCTGTACATTTTATGCAGGTCACAAAAGGGATCAGAGCTGTCTAGATCTCAGGACTCTGACTGACTATGATGAAACATATATCAGGTTCTGGAAATGGGAAGAATTTAAGAACAGGAGAAAGCAAAAAGTCAAAATCCATAAAACAATGTTTTCATTCCTCTCCACAGTCCAAGATGGAAATCAGTGTCTCCCACTCTACCACAGTAAAAATAAGGAAGTAAGACAGTCATCCCTGAGCACTGCTGATATAACTATTAATACCCACACTGAGCTCACCTTTCTGAGCTAAGATCCAGAAACTTCTTTGCAGTTGGCTATACTCTGGAGGTACGCTAAAGATGGCCTGGTTCTGACAGGACTCAAAATACCTTGAGAGATTGGGAACGGAGCCATGCAGGCGTCCCACCTGCTAGAAGCAAAACCAATTGGTTTTAGGCACCCACAAAAGCAGCTTCCCTATCACAGCTTTTCTCCCCAGCTCCTTAAAACGACTCCCTCCTTTGTCCCAGGAAAGCACTGTACACCTCATCCCCATAATCAGCTATGGGCCCTCCCTAAGCTAAGAATGTGGCTCAATGGTCTTAAACCATGTCCATTAGGGCCGCTCCTGATCATGTTGATTGGCAGCAACTCTTCAGGCCCTTCATCCAGCCCTCCCTGGAGGTCTGAACCTGGGATCTTCTGCATGCAAAGGACCTCTCCGCTGATGATCTATTGCTTCTCTCACTCCGTATTGCGTACCCTTGAGCTAAACACTTTTCCCCTACCCCATCCATCCCCAAACCAGCTCACCCTGCCTATGGTGTCATCCTTTGCAAAGCTCTGAGTGCACCAGATCCGGGTGGATCTCTTCGCCTTTCTGGGTCTTTCTGTTCCTGTTGAGGTCTGTAAAATCAAGATGAGATCTCACACTCCACAACTATCAAAGATTAATTCCAAATCAAAATGCGAATCACAATCTAGTCGCAGGAATGCTCTGATTTTGCAGTTATTACTATAACAGTGGCACATAACCACCCTAATCAAAGTAGTATGAAAGTAACCTTGCAGCCTTTGATCAAAGATGTTGCTTAAATAGTTAAAAATATAAATATTTCCGGAAAAGGAATGCTACTACCACCACCATACCTACCTGACTACTAGAGATTAGAGGGGCAGAGGGAATGCGGTGGAGAGATTCCAAACTCTGTAGCATATGGCTGAGCTCTTGAAGCCTTCCCTGACATTCTGAGAGTTCTGGAAAAACCCAAAATCATTTAGAGAAGTAGAGAAATGTTATACTTGAAAAGAATTTGCACTGTCAACATATATGGCTTCACATAGCAGAAGCAGACTAGGAAGGAGCAAGGCAGCACTTCCTGTTCTCTCAGAATATCAAAACACCAGACAATCAGCCATTTGGAAGAGAACACACATTGATGGAACTCTGCAAAGGAGGGGATGAATGGATGACATACACTGAAAATGTAGTTCACTGGCCAAGTTTCCACAAGAACCTGTTCAGTGACCAAAGTCTGAGGAAAGCTGATTGGGAAGAACCTGCCTTACTGTCCCACAAGTTCACCCATAACAATAGATACTGTATTAATGTAGGTAACTCTGGTCAATCCCTTCATCAGGAATCCCCTTACTCTAATCTCTGAAAATGAAAGCTGGCTTGGAGAGAGCCAAGGATCATGCCACAACCATTGTGACTACCAGCTAGGAAAGACCTTCAAGTAGTAAGAAGGTCTCAGACTTACCTGCTGAGCACCTGTCCAGCCCTTTGCTGTCACTGAGCCAAGAATTCACCTTTTCCCGGGAACTGGCCAGTGAAGATAAGACAGGGGCACTTTCTGATATCAGAATGTGGCGCCGTGAGCTGCAGGCCTGTAAGAATGAAACAAGACAATACAGGAAGAACGGAAACTAGAAGTAAAGGAATTCAGTCAACTTCAGAATCTAGGAGGGATCTTGTCTTTGGGGTTCTTGAGTACACTGGGAAATCTGTTAAAGATGCTATCACAAAGTGGATGTCATGGAGGCCTTTCCTAACCACAAAAGTAATGTAAGAAACTTGCTACAAAATTGAGTACAAAGTAGGGTTTGGATAATGCCCTAGTGCTAATGTTGACTTCCATGAAATACAACAGTGGAAACAGGTCTCTTTTAAATCCAGCTTGACTTCTGAGGACTGCATGGATTTATCCATGTCACTTTCTTAACAACTGTTTGGAAGTGGTTTGTCACTGACTTCTTCAGGGATTTTTCTGCTTTAACTTCCCACTTTAGTCTACAGCTCTAAGATTTTCTGAAAGACTCCCATCCAACACTGCTTAGTTTTTTCAGGTCAGCCAAGTTCAGCTAGGTACTGCCATCCAGCTGACACAAGCATTAAAAAAATACTCATTTCAGAGATGAAGCTTGCTGATGCTCAGAAAAACCCTCAGATAAATACACACACATATACTGGTGTTTCACACTACCTCTTCAGAAACCATCCAACTTATTAGGCAGCAGCAGATTTTTTCCCCTTCAAACAGTTTTAACTGGCTTCCTCAGCACAATGGAAACAACAACTTACAGCCACTTTACTTCTTTCTTTTCCTTTGTACGCCTCTGAGTCCATGAAGTGCTCAAAGGCATTCCAAGAAGGAAAAGGAAAAGGAAAAGGAAAAGGAAAAGGAAAAGGAAAAGGAAAAGGAGAAGGAAAAGGAAAAGGAAAAGGAAAAGGAAAAGGAAAAGGAAAAGGAAAAGGAAATCACATTCACTGGACTAATATACACTAACTTTGAGGCATATTGCAAAAAGTAATCCTTTGGGTAGAAGTTCTGCAAATCCCCTTTCTCCCCTTACGATCTGAAAAAAACAGTGAAGGATGCAGGAGTTAACATGCTCCATCCATCGTCACATTTCAGAAAAGGTGCTTGCTATCAAGCCATCATGCAAGAAGGCCCCATTTTATCATGACTCACTTGTGAGGGATGAGAGGCTCTCTCACCACCTGTTAGGAACTGTCTTCGGGATGCATCCAATTTCTCCACTTGCCGGTGCAAGCACAGCTTTGCGACCCAATTATTGAACAGCTCTTGGGATTTTATCTAAAATAAGTGAGGTGGGGAAGAGGCAGCAAAAGATTAGAAAAATAAAAATATTTGCCCCAAACATTCTGATTCTGAGCTGGAGCAGCAAACTGCATCTTCTGCTGAAACCAAAGTTTATAAGATTGGTAAAAAATGTCACAAATGTTTCATTTCCCCTCCCTGACAGCAACAGTACACTCCTAACAAATTAAAGTCTAATAATCTGTTCCTTCTCCTGGCAACCCAAATCGGTAACTGCGAGCAGCTTCTTCACTCAGCTAAATGGTCAGGTCAACTCTGCTAGTGGGAATTAAACCTCCGGTCCGATGGGGATTCACGCTGATGTCTGAAATGTCAGGAACTGGAAACTGATTTCTAGAGAGTTGGCACGATTTTCTTGATCCTATCTTCCCATGATTTCATGGCAGGAATTTGTGCTTTTCCCCCCCTGATTTTCATGACTGACAAAACAGAGCAACCTGCTACGTTTTAAGGTTGCGGAGAACAGCTGTTATGTAAGTATTTATTTGATTTACGAGATTTATAAACTGTCTCATTTCAGAAGCTTTACAAAGGCCATTGGAAGCCACAGACACTTAGACACAGAAAATAAAAATGTGCAGCCACTGATTCAGACAGGATCAACTTGCCACATCATTTGAAAAGTGCAAGAAAAGTCCTGCTTGTAGCAAAGGATAAACACGACCAGTCTGCAAGGTGCCATATACTCAGCTGTGCCCTACATGCGTATGCATAAATAATCCTACCATGAATGGGCCTTAAATGCTCAGCTGGGACTTGAATTCTAGCTACCCAAAACAGCAGAACAAGTGGACTCTTCATCCTTTGCCAGAGATCCAGAGAACTATAAGGAGTTGCATTCACACGCAAACAAAATGCTCAGTGCAGATATTTTTATGCCTGCTACTCTACAGGCATATATCAGATATTAGGATATTACTATTCTGCAAATCATTTTCCTGTTTTACCACATGGAGAAATGTTTTGTGCAGCCAACACAGTAGCTTTGCAAAAACATGTTTTCAAACATAATTTGCCAGTTCAAGACGTTCTCCACCACATACATTCTCATACCAGTTCTCAGATTTTGAGACAATGGAGAAACAACAGCCTAGCATTTGTATGCCTGAGCTTATGGATGAATTGACATTCGATTGCAGAACTCCAGTGATCTTTTCTGTTCTTCCATCCTGGATGAGGTGGCTCATTCTGCTTGTTACCTTAAGATGATAAATATTATCTTCTGTGTCCAAGTCCACACGCTGGGCCTTCTTGTTGACCGACATGACTGACAAACAAACATCTATGGAGCCATGTAACTTCCCCTTCAAGACCTAGAGGAAAAGCCATAGGTCAGTGTTGTCCAAACTTGGCCACTTTAAGATGAGTGGACTTCAACTCCCAGAATTCCCCAGAACACTGCCATAGGTGCAGTGACACTGAGAAATAACATAAACCCTTCTCTTAAATATGCTTCCTCCCTTTTGTCCCCACCAAGATTTCTGTGAACCCTGGAACATTGACACCCAGGTATTTCCTGATTCTACCATTCTATACTCACATCTTGGCGTGTTGTGGCATATTTCAGGATGCCATCTTCCAAAACAAAATAACGCTTAGAGAGAGAAAGAGAAGGGGAAGGGGAAGGAGTAAGTCAATAATACTGGACTTGACTGAATAAAATCAATATGCCAGATCTTATAATATTCCTCAAGAAGTTGAAAGAGTTCGACAGTCAAATCTCATACTTGCTTGCTATCATGTTCACTGGTTTTTAGGCTAGACTAGCCTTCTCCAACTCAACCAATGGCTATGCTGGTTGGGAATTTTGGAAGTTATAGTCCAGCACATTGGGGGAAGTTAGTTTAGATAGTTTATTAAAAATGGAGAATTATAAACATGACCCAGCAAGTTACAGAGTATTGTATTACTTATTTATTGTTCAGTATGGAGTGCTTCCACTCAAAATTCTAACCACCAGCCATGCTGTTGTTCAGGATACACCACTCTATTCCTCCAGCAGTCAATATCTCTGGTCACTAAACACACACAATCTTGATTGGCTATTTTGGAGGGTCACTTTTGTCTCCCTTAGATATTTTTCCCTGAGAAATTAATTGTGCTCTTGGGGTCAGCGAACAACGTCCATAAGTTCTTGTCGCTTTCACTGAAAGCAGCATTGTACCACAAACTCTGCCCCTTTGGAGTGTGCATGTGACATCATGACACACCTAGAAAAAAGCTGGGGCTTGTGCTGTGATGCTGTAATGCTACTTGTATCACTTTAATCCACCTTGGCTCCTGCTCCCCATTGCTGATATGCCTTTGTTGTGCTTGGGTGGTACCATTTTGGCTACATAAGAATTAGTACTCACACTTGAACCTGAAAACAGAGAAAATGGTCCTCATTTAACAACCACTCATTCAGCGACCATTTGAACTTACAATGGTGCTGATGAGTAGTACTTACAATCGGTCTCGTACTTACGGCCATTGCAGCATCCCACAGTCACATGATCATGATTTGTGACCATCCCTGCCAGCTTCTGACAAGCAAAGTCAAATGGAGAAGCTAGCAGGAAGTCGCAAATCACAGTCAAGTGAGGCCCTTGCTTAACAACCCGTGTGATCCTCACTTAACAATGGCAACTGGGACTGCCAGAACTGCCATCACTAAGTGATGCAGTCACATGGCTTTTCAACTTATGACTGCATCGCTTAATGACAGAGTTTTCAGTCCCAAGTAGTGTTAAGCGAAGACTACCTGTATTTCTTTAAAATCATCACAACCAATTGCAGTACAATTTAATCCTTGGTATGTCTACTTGGAAATAAGACTCGCTGACTTTCAGTGAGAACTGCTCCCAGTTAAGCATGCCTAAGATTGCTAAGTTGTTGTTTAGCAGCATTTAGAAAGTCGCAGATTCCCCACCCCTGATGCACCCATTCACCAAAGGCTAAATAAACCCAAAAGCATCCAAAGCAATTCATACATATTATGACAACAATCCTTGTAAGAGCTCTTGAAAGCAGTTGTCTGAGCCTGTCAGATATCAGTCTCCTGACAGACTAAAGTGCAACTTCTACAATTCACAGTAGCAGCCAGCAGATTGGGGGGGGGGGGGG